TAGGGAAAGTTTTAGGCTTGTGGCTGCAGTTAATCTTGTGGAGTCTGTTGTCGGAGGGCTGTTATTTGATTTCCACTAGCGGTATGAGGAAGCTTGTGCAGCGATGGATGCTCCAGGACATAATTTCTAGTAGTTGACTGACAAACAAATTGGTGAGACAGCCTGGGCTTTGAACGCTGCGATGTTTGTGTCCCAAAACGCCGACTGTACTTACCCGAGGCAAACCGAGTGCTCTGTCATTTGTAGCAAGAAGCTTTTGGTTCATTTTTCCTATTGTCACGAGCTCTCCAATATTGTCTTTTTTGTCTTTTTGAGCTTTAAAGAAGCTCTCACTCCTGTAAGGTAACCTGGTAAGTTCCGGTGATGTTTCCAAAAGCAAAGTCTTGCGTAGCTGACAAACGTACCCGCTCACGCTGCGAAATGAAACGACTGAAACCAAGCCTGTGATGTGATTTCTGTAATATTTCTTAGTCACCGTTATCATACAGGAATCTTTGTCATCATAGCAACTGCTCTATGGGTATCTTGCTTGATCGTCAGAGTAGATGGTGGTCGCTTCTTATTCTCCTGTAACAAGATAAATAATGGGGGAGAGTGTTTCTGTGCACATATGCTTGCTGGCTACTGACCTGCAGGGAAATGACAGTTGTAAGCACTACGTTTTCCTGTGATACAAGCTGTTGTGCTGACCTGACTCTGCCCTCTGAACTGCTCTTGGTTTCCAGGGCGACGTTTTCAAGACCAGGGGCGGTGGACAGGCAGTGCAGTTCACGGAAATAGAGACTCTGAAGCAAGAATCTCCAACTGGGTGAGTTGTCCTCTTAATTTTAGGTTCTGATGCTGCTGGAGATGAGTAACTCAAACAGTAACTGCTCCTGGTCCAAAAGACTGAACAAATGTTGTTGCATTTAACTTGTAAATCATATAAAAGTAACGTGGAGAGGCTTATAGATACTGTAGGTGCTCTTAAGGCTGGCCTGCTGCTGAGTGAAGTATTCTTTAAGAAAGTACAGAATGCGTTCTCTTGTACACGAGAATCTGCCAAAATACATGATGCTTCTGACCTTTTTTCCACATCCTCCTCTTTCAGTCGAAAACGGAGATCATCCCCTGATCCTGACCCACCTGAGGATGCTGCAGACTCTGAATGGACCGATGTAGAAACCAGAGTAAGCTACAAAGGAAGGAGGGATCATAGTCATGCTTGATCCGGATGAGGATTTGGGGTGGTAGCTGGGTGGGGGTTAGCACAGAGACTGATTTTCTGTGTCTTCTCAGTGTTCTGTGGCAGTGGAGATGAGGGCAGGATCGGCTCTTGGACCTGGGTACCAGCATCATGCTCAGCCTAAGTAAGTGCATCTCTCCTTTGTAGCTGGGGTGTTGCAGTCTCCTCCCTGAGAACATCTAAAGCAAGAGAACTTGTTTTGTATCTTTAGATCAATTTAAATTAAATAAGGTTGCAAATACTTTATTAATCATTTCAGTATAGTCTAGGGAGGAGACAACTGTGGGGTATCCCTAATGGTACACTTGTATGTAGCCAATACTCTAGCTGCTGCCTGCTGTGTAATTGTCAAGGCACCAGCTAAGGAACCATGGGCTCTGGAAGAAACTTCCCTCTTTTTCAAATGCATAATGGTCTGGATTCTTCAGGGCTGTCTTATCAGTCTTAAATGTTGTGGTCGGTGGTGGTTGCACACACAAATTCAAGCCCACCAAACCAGAAGTCCCAGTTTCTAGCAAAAAGTCCCCATGATCCAGCAGTTTGTGAGGCTTGTGCCCAACGCTTGAGCCCCACGTCTCACAAAACGCTTCCCCGACAAAAGAAATGCTTCAGATGAGACAGTTCTGTTACAGTACGAGTAGGAATTAAATATCCAGGTTTGGCTTCTTGCAGGTAGTGCCGTGGAAGTCACCCCTTCAGCTCAGGGAAGGGAGTTTTGCAAGACATTTACAGGCAGGAGAGCGGGCTGGAGAGGTAAAGGGGTTTCTGTGGAGCCAAAATCAACTCAACTGGCTGCGTTTGGAATCCAGGAAGTTTAGAACTATGGTCTAAGGGTATTTTGGAGAGTATCTGAAATGGGTAATCCCTGTCGGATAAGGTGACAAATATGTACCTTTCATATGCTTTATTACATCTCTGATTAAAAACCGGGACCTGCTCGAGGTGGCCACTGCTACTTGCAGCCTTGTAATATTGCAGTAAATCCTTGAGTTTGCCAGTGCGTTGAATTGGATCTTGTATGTATTTAAACTCATGAAATCATAAAAATAAAACTTCGGTTTGAGCTCGTGGCTGTTTAAAAAGAAAAAGGGGGAAGGAAAAGACAACAGATTCATTAATAAATAAGCTCTTTAGTTTTCTTGTGTTAATTGTAGCATTTTTAGAGCACAGGACACACGTGAGACTCATGGCTACAGCAGAGTAGGTAGAGGCTGTTGACTGCTGTTAAGGAAAACCACTGCTGTGTGAAACCTGACAGTTGTTTGTGGCTCTGTTTTTCTTTCTTTTAGGCGGAGAAAGCCATGAACTCGATGTGCTGCTGCTCTGGAATCCTCTTGACTTTGTTATCAGCCTGATGTAATACCTGCTGCCAGGGATAAACTTGAACAACTGCTTTCTTATCACTTCAGGCTTACATTTCTTATAATGGCCTGTGCTAGGCAGTAGTTAGATAGGAGATACTATTTTTTTGGTTTTGATCCCAAAGAAGTGCATGTGTAGGTGTGTATGTATTTAGTAGATGTAGGGGGCTCTGCCCTTGTGTCCTCTGGGCTTGTGAATATCACCTTCCATCTGGTATGGATGAAGCCCTTGTTGTTATTGAGCTGTATCTTTATAGACTGGTGACACAAGGCTTCTGCCCTGTGTGTTTTTAGAGCTTATAAAAAGCTCAAAATTATATTAAAAATTATTAAAAAATATAAAAAATATAAAAAAAATTAAAAATTATAAAAAATTATAAAAAAAATTTCTAAAAATGCAAAGTACTTGTGGTCACTATCCCTTCCCTGTCAGGTCCTCTGTTCTGAAGAGGCATAAGCGATGCTATTTATTTAGATGCAGTAACGCACTTTAAGAGTGTCTCTATGCCATTTCATATCTTGTTGTAACCAGCAACAGCTTGGTGATAAGGATTTCTCCTTGGAAGAATCCCCTTTGATTATTTAATATGCAAATCAGCTTGTAAAAAAACATTTCAATCTTCAAACCTTCTCAGTAACGAAGAACACCGAGATAAGTAACGGTGACTTGACATTAGACCTACTTTGTTTCGTAGAGTTAGTAAATAATTAAATGTTTTACGTCTGTAGATAGGGAGTAAAAGGGTAATTGCTCACAGATATGGTGAGAACTTGATATGTAAACATGTTGAAAATAAATACTTTTATTCAATGGCTCTTGCAAACCACGCTCTTGTTACTTAGGGCTGTGTGGAGCTACAGAAGCGAAGGTGAGCGCTGCAGCGTCTTGCCTGTGTCTTGTGCAGAGAGCTGTGGATGAATGGACCTTTTGGGATACTTAACTTTAAACCAAGGAGTCTTGCTTGCATCCCGAGGTGTTTTGAACAACCTTGTTTTTGTGCCTGCAAATTGCTTTCAAGGGCACTTGGTTCTGTTTTGAGTGAGTGACTGCCTTGTTAAAAGATATTGAAGCTTGGAGCTTTTTGCAGCGAAAGAAAAAGCTTTTGTTACTAAGTAGTTTTAAAAATACTTTTATAAAGCCTAGGGGATTTTTTTTTTCCTTGATTTTTGAAAGGAAAAAAGTGATCAATACTGGTGCCTGTTTGTAGCTGGTATAAACACACGTTTGTTTTCAGGTGGTGCACGAGAGCTTCTATTTGAAGCTCTATTGGTCTCTCAACCCTCAGCTGGAGCAGAAAGCTGCACATAATCCCTCTGAGAAAGCACAGGGCAGAGCATTATTATTGTATTGTTATTTATATTATATTATATATTATTTTACATATATATAATGGAGCAGGCAGTGCTGCTTAATGAGTAGTGGTGTCTGTTTTGTTCTGGGAAGCAAGAAGCCCTGGTTCAAAAAGCTAAGAGATGGATGTGTGACAGGTATGTGTTTGCTCAGTGTGTGTGCAGGATGCTGGTTCAAGTACAGCTTTGCTTTTATTTGCTGCCTGCCTAATTAATTAAACGTCTTAGATTACAGCTAATAAGTCACGAGTGGCAAACAGAAGGAAAACCAACGAGGGGAAGAAGCAGCCTGAAGAAATGGATGGGGTTTATCGGAGAGGCTGCTGCGTGGTGAGCTGGTGCCACTAGATGGGGTGGGATAACCACCAGGGGCTGGGTCCCTCCTCTGCCCTGCAGGGATTCAGCTTTGCCACGGCCTTGGGGCAGGGAATTGCTCCTTTCCACCCCGCAGAGTCTTGGGACACCCCAACCTGCACAGGGGGTCCCGTGCTGCCGCCCATCTCCCTGCCTTTTACTGTTAATCGATGGGAAGCTAAAGATAGGAAGGGCAGCCTACAGAAATAACAAAAGGAACTCAAGTAAAGCCCATGCTCCTATTTCTGGCGCTTAAATTAACTCCTTCACATGCACTAAGAAAAATATTAATCTGCTCTTAATGATGAGCAAGCTGTCAAGGGCATTATCTCTCTGATTTGAATTCAATCATCCTGTCATCAGCCTAAGTCGTGTTGGAAGTGTTACTGGGGGAACATGTGAGAAACGGATATTCAGGAAAACATTTAGCTGCAGAACATGGCTCCGTTTGGGCTGCTCCTAAAGCGACGTGAGAGGCCTTCTGAATTAACCCTCAAAGTGCTGGGGTTTTATATCAAAGGATGCGTGGCCAAAGTGTTGATTGCTCAGTCCTCGATGAGTTCTGTGTTTTGTGTGACGATTTACAAGAGCTTTGCTCAGAAACTCCTTATTTTGAAGGAGAAAGGCATCAAACGCACAGAACGTAGCTGCTGCAGCCACTTTGTCCTACTGTAAGCATTAATCAGGAGCAGAAATAAGGACCTTGCTGAGCAGGATCCTTGTCCGTGGCAGTGTGGTAGCAGCCTGTCTCGACTCCCACCCATCTTTCTTGTGCCTCAGTTGCCCTTGAGGTCCATCGCTGAGCTTACTGTGCTGTCCCCGAGCAGGATTTAGGGGTAAGGTGAAGAATGGGCTGCTCTGCCCTGAAGTCTGGGCTGGTCACCACCCCAGCAGCCAACACAACCGTGCTGCACCTCTCATCTTCATTAGGTACATCTTTAATTACCCAGAAGCTGTTATTACCTCCTGTGATGGGCAGCAGGGATAACTTTAAAGATTGCAGTCTAATGAGTGCAAATGAGCTCTGCGAGCTGCCCTGGGTTCGTGCTTGGCTGAGGACTTGGGCTCATTCATGAAAATGACGGAGGAGAGGACACGGGGACTCAGTCGAGGGAGGTTCTCCTGCCCCTCTGCTCTGCCCTGCTCACACCACAGCTGCAATCTTGGGTCCAGTGCTGGGCCCTCAGCTCCAGAAGGACAGGAACTGCTTGAAAGAGTCCAGCAGGGCCACCAAGTGATGGAGGGAGTGGAGCATCTCCTGCTGAGGAGCGGCTGAGGGAGCTGGGGCTCTTGAGCTTGGAGCAGAGGAGCCTGAGGGGTGCCCTCATTCCTGGGGATCCATTGGGAAAGGGCAGTGTCAGGAGGAAGGAGCCAGGCTCTGCTCTGGGATGGCCAATGCCAGGACAAGGGGCAATGGTCCCAAGCTGGAGCACAGGAGGGTCAAGCTGAAGCTGAGGCCAAAGTTTGTGAGTGTGAGGGTTCTGGAGCATGGCCCAGGCTGCCCAGAGAGGTTGTGGAGTCTCCTTGTGTGGAGACACCCAAAGCCCTGGCCGTGTTCCTGTGTGACTGCTCTGGTGATCCTGCTCTGGCAGGGGTTGCACTGGGGGAGCTTTCCAGGGCCCTGCCAACTCCTCACATCCTGGGATTCTGGGACTCCTGCAGCAGCAGTGATGGCAGCCGCAGCTCCATGTGCCCACCAAGCCCGGTTTCCCAGCCCAGCAACACTTTTGCCAGTCCCATTTGGTGCCACTCAATCGCGTTCCTCCGAAGTCGCTCGCGTCTTTACGTCTTCTTCACATATTTACCCTCGCGCAGAGCGCTGGCGCTGTTTACTCTGCAAAGATTCCTCTAAGACTCGCCTGAGCACACAATTTACTCAGCTAACAAGGGCTGGCATTTATTGTGGGTATCTCTGTGTACTTGTCGTGCTTCGGTCTCTGCTGACATTCAGTGGGAAGCGTTAAAGCAAACAGCAGCAGGAGCAGGGCTGCCAGTACCACGGCTCCTCTGAAAGAGCTGAACCAGGCTGCCTGCTTGATATTGGCCAGAGCCAGCTCCA